TGGAGGAGACAATTGAAAGGGGAGGGGGCCGTTGCGGGAGGCGGCAGACCCCAGCCGAAATTGCAAGAGAAAAAATGGGGATTCTTGCTATTTTGGTTTGGTGCAGAATGTGTTTTTAGGTGAGGGTTGGGGGTGCAAGCACCATAAAAAATAAATCTAAAAAGGGAGCAATTCGGAAGGATTTTTTTTAAAAAAAACATGTTTATGACTTCGCTTTACAAAGCAAAATTCAACGGTAAAAGCGAAGACATAGATCGATGCCAGGGGCTGCTGTTTGAAATAAAGAGCTGTGCTTTCTATCAAAGGAGGTATGGTCATTGAAGATTTGTGGATGAAATAAGGTTGCATTTTAATAATGCAACCAGTAGGATTTGAAAAAAATGCAAACAAATGTTTGATTTCCAGCCCTGACTGAACTGCTTTTTCTCATCAAAGGAGGAACAAAGTTGCCAGGAGAAGAATGTTTGTGAATTCCAAGGTGATGATACAATGATGCCAGACAGTGATACAGTCTAATATTTACAAGTCTATTAAGAAGTCCTTCATTAACAAATGAAACAAGGAAACATTAATGTTTATCTTCCTTCTTTGGACATGTTCATTGTGCCACTAAAATATTGCAACTGCTGAGATGATGGTGGAAGAGGCACCAGCAGGAAATAGCCTCAAAGTTCATGCTACAGTAACAGGAAACTATTCCAAACAAAAGGCTAGAGAGGGTATAAAAACCTACTGCCCATGCGCTCAGGTCCTTCTTTCCTCTGGTCTTTCCTGCAAGAACCATCTTTCTGCCTCTTCAATAAACTGTAACCTTCTTCCCAAAGCAGTTGCCATGTTGTTTATTTATCCCCGGCTTGGATGAACCAGGATGAAGACTTTACTTCCAACACAAGCCTTTGTAATAACATACATGAATTCTTTGTTGGGAAATCCATGCTGGAGAACCTCATGTGCAAATATGTACCACAGCAGCAGGTGACTATATGCAAACACATCAGGGGAATCTTTGTGTGTTGGATTTGTACTGTACATATAAAACTATGCTGTAAAAACAGCTGTACCTGGCTTGGTTTAGCTCTCCAATCGCAGCATGATTTTATCTATATAAAAATACTTCCCACGCACATTTTTAATTAAGTTTGACCTCAGCCTGACCTAAACAGTGCAGATCCCACACTTCACATATCATTTATTGCAAACAACTCAAGAGACAAATGTTTAGCTCCATGACAACACCACAGAATTGTTGCACGTACATGTTTACTGAGAAATGTTGAACTGAGCTTCAAATCTTTGTCTGCTGTCTTTAGGGCACATGACTGTAAAGCCTCCATGTGCTGGAATCAAGATTTCAGGCCCACCCACTTGGCAGATTGCTCATTGGTCTGAAGCAGGGGTCTTCAAACTTGGCCCTTTTATGACTTGTGGACTTCAACTCCCAGAATTCCTCAGCCAGCGTTGAAGTCCACAAGTCATAAAAGGGCCAAGTTTGAAGACCTCTGGTCTGAAGAAAGAAAGAAGTCCACACGAGATGTATGGCAAAAACCTACAATGATGTTGGGCATGTCATGATGTAATCATGTAAAAGACATAGAGTCTATAGTTGGCACAGTGATGTCATATGAGCCATATAGGAGAGCTTCATATGGTAGAGGAAGGCTTTCCAAGGTGAAATTACAATAAACCCAAAACAAACAAACTTTTAAGCGACCCCATTGAAGTGTAAGGCTCTGATCTTGATCCTGCTTAGTTTGTGCCTAAATTGGTTTCTGAAAAAGAGAACATTGGATAAAAATGTAAATTGTTTACATCTCTGTTTCTGATTCCTGTCCTGCCTCTATTGCAGCGGTTCTCAACGTTTGTGTGACGGCGACCCCCGTCACACAAACATTATGCGCATGCGCGGCACGCATGGGGGGCGTGCGCAGCACGCATGCGCGGCACCCTCGTGCGCGGCACACATGCGCGGCGCCCCCATGCGTGGCGCACATGCGCGGGTGCCCCGTGCGCGGCGTGCATGCGCGGCGGCGCCCCCATACATGGCACGCATGCGCGGCGGCACCACCGGAGGGGACAAAATGGCGGATCGCCGCCTTTGGCGACCCCCGAAAAGTGATCGATCGACCCCAAATGGGGTCGTGACCCATAGGTTGAGAACCGCTGCTCTATTGCCACTGTTTTCAGTCACCGGCTCCCTACAAAATGAACAAAAACTCAATTTTGAGGCTAACCTTGGCTGGTATTAAAAGGCTGTGGAAATGGCTTTTGAAACAGGATTTGCTTTTCCATCAGGATCACTTAGGCCAGTGGTTCTCAATCTTTTTAATGCCGCAACCCCCAACTGGTTGTAAGTCGAGGACTACTCAACCGGTCGTAAGTCGAGGAGTACTCAACTGGTGCAGCACCGTTTGCAGAAGGGGACTTTTGGCGGGCTCAGCAGGGCAGAGACAGCCTGGACAATTCCTATTGGCTTTTGAAAGCCAATGGAATTAGACTCTATTCAAGAGAATCTATTCTATTGGCTTTCAAAAGCCAATAGAATAAAAGGGAGTAGCACAGCTAAGGAAAAGGGGGGGAAAATGGCAAACTGCGTTGTTTGGCGACCCCCGTGAAATGGTCGTTCGACCCCAAATGGGGTCCCAACCCACAGGTTGAGAACCACTGACTTAGGCCTATCAGGGCAGGAAAGAGAGAATGACAATCAGATGGGGAGAAGATAGAAATAATAGGTCACCAGGAAGTGTTGATGACATTGTTAAATGCAAATGGAAGGGGTAGGATAAGGTCTATCCATTTATTTGCAAATCAAATTATCCTTTATTGCACTCATTAACCAGCAGATTGAATTTATCTTCTACCTCTCTCCCAAAACTCCAGTTTATTTGCAACAGAAGGAGCCTATAAGCTCAAGTAAGGAAGCAAAGATAAATAAATACTCAATGGCTACTCAAGTGAAGTGCCCAAAAAGCTTCTTAGAAAATCAAATCTCCATGGACCATGCTAGTCTTTTCCTGAAGATGGGTTTGACATGTACAGAAATCCTATCACAGGTAGTCCTTATGACCACAATTGAGCTCAAAATTTCTGACAAGCTAGGCGAGACAATTGTTAAGTGAGTTTTGTTCCATTTTACAACCTTTCTGGCCACAGTTGTTAAGTGAATCACTACAACTTGTTAAGTTAGTAACATGGTTGGTTGGGGAATCTGGCTTCCCCATTTGACTTTTTATTTGTATTTATTTGGAAAATTTGCATTGCCGCCTACTCGCACATGGTGATTCAAGGTGGCTTACAAAAATAGAAAGACACCCTATAAAAAAATAAAAAATAACAAGGGGAAAAATAATAATATAATAACCCCCCCCCCAGCCCTTCTGACTTTGCTTATCAGAAAGTTGCAAAAGATCACATCACCCCGGGACACTGCAACCATCATAAATATGAGTCAGCCGCCAAAGGGTCTGGATTTTGATCACCTAACCACGGGGGATCCTCCAATGGTTACTCTAGAGCAGGGGTAGGCAACCTCGGCTCTTTTATGACTCATGGACTTCAACTCCCAGAATTCCAGAGCCAGTGTGGCTCAGCTTGGAAACCTTTCCCTTCCCCTCAGCATGGCTGGCTCAGGAATTCTGGGAGTTGAAGTCCACGAGTCATAAAAGAGCCAGGGTTGCCTACCCCTGCTCTAAAGTCTAGTGAAAAATGGTCATGTCACTTTTTTCAGCGCTGTTGTAACTTTGAATGATCACTAAATGACTGCTTGTAAGTCAAGAACTACCTGTACTAGGTACTACACAGTATTACAATCCGCAGAATTCCAGTTCTGCAAGACTCTTTGTTGAGAATACTGAGGGCTGAAATCAAGGCTGACTGAACAGCCCTTGGGTGGAGAAAGAGGATATTTTTAACTTCAGGAACATTGTCCCTCCCCATCTAGAGCAGTGTATAAAAAGTTGGCAAGCCTTGGATACCGATGAAACATCTTCGTTTACAGACCGTGGGAGCAATGCATATTTCTTAATTTGAATCGGAACAAAATGACTTTGAAGTCTTATTAAAAAAAACAAACACGTGATGATGATTTGATTTATTTATCTAGGGAAAATAATGGAAGACCTCTGTTGGCTTGATTATCTCCTGGGGAACTTGATGGACAGGTCTACACTGTTTCTGGAGCAGCTGTTCTGAAGCGGTTTGCCACTGCTTTCTTCTGGGGTGGTTTTGGGTTTCTTAGTGGCCCACCAAGAGCTAACCAGGTCCTGCAGAGCTTTCTGAGATCAACCAGGGTTGTCCCAGGGTTCCCTAAAGCAGTGTCAGTGACCCCAAAGTAGATTGGTTCTCTCATTCCCCTGGCTCTACCTTGCTGTTATCTGGACAAGGAACGCTGATAGCCTCCACTTCTGGGCAACAGCTGGATTGGACCCGAGAAGCAAACCAGTGGGCAACAGCTGGATTGGACCCGAGAAGCAAACCAGTGACCTCCGATGAGATGGGGCAGGTGAGAAGATGGAAGAGGAGGAGATGGATTTCCGGGGGGGGGGGTGCTTTGGCTCCGACGTGGTGGAATCAACTTCCCCCTGAGATTCGAACTACTCCCACCTTGCCGGCCTTCAAGAAAGCTATTAAAACTCTCCTGTTCCGGCAGGCCTGGGGTTGATGCGGGGGGGGGGGGCGGGATTCGATTGGGACATGCTGTGTGAATGTATTCATTTTTAATTGTTATACTTGTTTTAATTTTGTACGCCGCCCTGAGTCCCTAGGGATTGGGCGGCATATAAATTTTATAAATAAATAAACAAACAAACAAACAAATAAATAAATAAGAAAGATTCCTAAACCCAGCATCTGGGGCCAGCCTGGGTCGTCCATGCAAAGTTGGCTGTGCAACGATCTGACTCAGTACCCCGATGGCTAGAGGTGGCCATTCCTGCCCAGAGGGAGAGCCGCTGGACGGGCTGGCGGAGGAGGAGGAGGAGGGATCCTAACAGATCCGCCCGCTTTTGCCGGAGCTGATCAGGGCGGCGGGAGGAGGCGGCGTCTCTCTGGCCATGGGAGCCTTTGGGCGCCCGCTCCACTCCAGCAGCTGCACCAGCAGCGCGCAAGGGCGCACCAGCAGCGCGCAAGGGCGCACCAGCTTGGCGGCGGGGCTGGAGAACCAAGCGGGAACCCTCCCCACGCCTCGGTCGGCCGGGCTGCGAGCCGCGAAGCCCGGAAGCCTGCAGAGTCGGCCAGCCCGGGACACGCATGGAGGAGCTGGCCAGGCAGCCCTGAAGCCCAGCGCCGGAGCTGGGAGCCAAATGCCGCCGGTCTAACCCCTCCGAGCCCGTCGCCGAAGCCAAAGGAGGAAGAGGAGGAGGAGGAGGAAGCAGGCCAGCTGCTGGGATGAGCGCCGCGGCTGCCACCGGCGTCTTCGTGTTATCCCTCTGCGCCATCCCCGTCACCTACCTCTTCAACGCTTCGGCTGCCACCGGCAGGTGAGCAAGGAGGGCAGGTGCGGACCTTTTCTCACGTGCGCGCTGCCAAGCGGGGCCGGCGGAAGGTGGGAAAGGGGCCTGGCGGCGGAGAAGAAGAGGAAAGAGGGCGCAGAAGTGACAAGGGCGGTGGGAGAGGGGCGCGCAAAAAGCGGAGCTTCGTCGCAGGTGGAAAAGCTCTCCGGGTGTCTGGAGACACCCCCCCGTTTCTCTGGCCGGCCGGCCCGCCCGCCCGGAGAGATGCATCGCAAAGGCTAGGAGTGTGTGTGTGTGGGGGGGGGCTTTGCAGGAGTGGGGAGAATTCAAGGGGGTCTTGCTGGAAGCTACATTTGCACGCGGCGGGCTCTCCTTCTGAGCCAGCAGGGATCCAGCGGTGTGGCTGCTGTCGTCTGCACGGTGCCTTCAGAATAAAGTACCTTGGATTCGGCTAGGTCTGTTTAGGGACGAGTGGTGTGTGTGTGTGTGCGCGTGTGCGCGCGCTGAAGTATATATTGGGTGGGGGGGAGCGAGAGGGGCTTGAATAAATTGAACGGTATCAGCTATTTGTCTTCCAGCAACTTTCCCCAAATGCCACAGGGGAGAATATTAAATCCCACGGAGTTTTTCAAATCGTATGTAAGTCATTATTATTATTTTTTTAATTCATCCTGTTGGGTTAGCCATGCTGGGCCAGACTGTTGTGTACTCTGAAGCACGGCTGAGTTTGCCCAGGGGGGCTGAATTCAAATCAAACTAAACACTTTAGCACAAGGATAGAAACGGCAGCCTAGTTTTGGAACCAATTTATACATTCACAGGCAGAACATGGAGCAAACCAAAAGTAGCTGAGTTCACACATAACTGTCATAAACCAGGTGTACAAAGCAGCCTTGCCCTGTTGCTTACATCCTGTGCCGCCACACCCAATCAAATTGCCTGGGAACAGCAGGTGAGTTCAGGGCTACCTAATCCTTGATTAAAAGAACCAGATCCCTGCATTTGCGGAAGGCAAAACAAAGCACCTCTGAAGTCATAAATAAACTGCACTAACAAGACTGACGGGGCCATAGACCTAGCATGAGGGGTCAGGGGAAGGCATGGGGATCATGCTGTGAAATCCCTGCCAAATAGGGAAATATCCACCCAGCTCACCAGGACTGAAGACAGAATATGTTACAGGTCCCATCTATTGGGGATATATATCTGGTGGGACCACAGAAAGAGCTTTTTTAGTGGTGGCCCCTTCTTTATGGATCATCGTTTCCCCCCCCCCCAAGGCAGGGCTGTCAAACTGCTAGCCTGTGGGCCAGATGCATCATAACGAAACCACACCCACCCCATTGCCGGCAATGGCAAAAAAAGTCACAATACGTCACGACACGTCATGTGACGTTGCGAGCTTGACACCCCTGCCCCAAGGTGTGATTAGCCCCCAGCTTGTTGCTTTTCCAAAAAGTCCTAAAGATGTGATTTTTATCAGAGTCCCTGGAGTCCCTGAATGGAGATGTTGCTTGCTGTCATCGGGTGGAGTGGATGTTATTATCAGATCAATCTGATTTAATATCCTTGACCACAGCCAAGCACTGTTCTGTAATTTGCAGAGTACGCCATAGTATTCACTCTAACCACTTTTCGTTATGTTTTAAAATAACTACATTTTTCCTTTTATCTTAACGAATTGTGACTCCTGCGTTTGATGGTCTGTGACCAAATAAAGATTTGATTTGTGTTGCTGTTGTCATAGGGAAAGATTTTTATGTTGTGGATTTTTGTATACATTCAAACTAGACTGTGATGTTTCTCTGTGTCATATGTGTGTGTGTGGCGGGGAGGTGCGAGGTATATACATAATGGTATTTTTTTTAGAGCTGAATGCAACACATTTTTATTTTAATGTAGGCTGATGAGTGTACATTTCAAGTGAGAACAAAGGTTCTATTCCTATTCCATTCCATTCCATTCTATTCTAATTCCATTCCATTCCATATTTTCTATTCTATTCTATTCTATTCTATTCTATTCTATTCTATTCTATTCTATTCTATTCTAATTCTAATTCTATTCCATTCCATATTTTCTATTCTATTCTATTCTATTCTATTCTATTCTATTCTATTCTATTCTATTCTATTCTATTCTATTCTACTCTATTCTCCATTCCATTTCTATTATTTAATGTTGTAAAGCTACTTGAAGTCAGCCATGTGTGAGTTGAGCAATCATATAAGTCGGTTTAATAATAATAAAACTTGCACAGTAAACACTCGTGGCCTTCCCCAATCTGGCAATTGGAAAGGCACCAACTTGGGGCAGGCATCTCTGCTCATTTTGTCCGCCCAATTGGCTGTCTTGCTGCTGCATGTCCTTTGCCCCTGGAACAATACCTGGAGTTTGCACAGATTGTGTTTCAAGTTATATAAAAGGGGAACATGCTGAACTGGCTGTTGTTGATGTGATGGCCAAGAAGGTAGCCTGGGGAGAGCCGGGCCGGGCCAGGAACAAGAGCAGGAAGCCGGGCCTTTTGGTCACTTGCATAAGCTGGGCTGGTATTTTTAGAAGCCACCCTGCCCTCGGCTGGCTGTTTCCTGCACTGACAGGGTGTGGAAAGGGGCACAACAATAGCCAGCAGCTGCTTTCTCCAGAAGAAATGCCAGAGGTTCATTTGTCAAGAGAGAAGTGGCAGGCTTGGCCCGAATGCAAATGCTCTCTCCCCGGAGCCCATGTCCCCCAGCTCAGCAAAGAGAGAGAGAGAGAGACCAACTTACAATCAGAATCAGCATCCCTGGACATTACTTAGCGTACTTATTTGCTCGATGTAAATGCCACTAATGGAGCGAAAAGCACTACCTTCGGCTTGCTCAGTGGGCATGGACAGCAGAGGAAGAGACTAAAGTGTGAATCTCCCTCCTCTTTGTGTGTGTGGGTTTATGTGTGTGTGTGCATGTTTGTTCGGGTGAATTTTGGCCTCTTGGTTGACTCCCTGGATGAGTCCCTGCAGTTTTCTTGGCAAGATTTCAGAAGTGGTTTGCCATTAACTCCTTCCTAGGGCGCAGAGAGGGGGACCGGCCCAAGGTCACCCACCTGGTTTTGTGCCTATGGCAAGACTAGAACTCACAGCCTCCTGGTTTCTAGCCTGACGTCTTAACCACTGCACCAAACTGGCTCTCAAGTGAATATCTTTGCCTTTGGATCAGTCTTGGCTCCTGGGGGCTGTCTAGATTCATCTTGGCAGATGAATCTTGAGAGGCATTTAGGAAGTTGCTTGCCTAGGGCTGAGAGAGAGGGATTGATCCCCCCCAGGTCACCTAGCTGGCTTTGTGCCTCAGGTGGAACTAGAATACAGAGTTTCTTGATTTCTGGCCTGATGCTTTGATCACTACACCATACAATACACCACGATGGCTCTCTCCCTATTTATAGCACAGCCCTTTAACCATTATTCCATAGATCTTCTAGCCAAAGCTAATAGTCAGAGTTCTTCAGCTGTTGCTTTTCCGTTTTTTCTTCTTCCTCATTGCCCTTTGCTTGCTCCCTCCAAGGACATCAGCAGCAGTTTGCAACTGAAGGATGCTAAACGCTCAGGAACACCAAAGGCAACAGTCAGCTCATCTGCTTTCATCCTCCACACTGCAGTCAGTAGGGGAAGTGAACTTTGCTGCAGGAACCGAAGTTTGGAAACGTTAGGCTAACGTTAACAGCCACCACCAATGTAGCTGTCTTAATGTACCTTTGCTCCTCCAGGGTTTGTTCGCCACACCAAATCACCATTTGGGTAGACGTAATTTATGGCTGGGTTCGGTGGTGTTATTATCACACAGTCATAATTAATTGGAAGAGACCTCAGAGGTCATTTAGTCCAACTGCTGCTGAATTCTGTTTAAGGAGATCGAGTGACTAGGAAAACACCTTTTTAGGAGTTGGGCTATTCCACTGGCTGAGAGCTCTTATTATAAGGAAATTCCTAAAATCTGCCTCCAAGCAAGATATGGCTCCTCTCTCCCACATCTGATAGATAATACAGATCTCAATCAAGCTCCATCCAAGATAATTTACACCAGCTGGGCAGAACCCCCCCCCTCTTTTCGATTTCCCTCTGCCCTAAAATTCTTCGCGTCCTGTCTGCAATTTCACTGGCCACTTATTAAACTCTTTAACGGCGCAATCTGCACGTTTCCTGCATCTGGAATATGGATCTTGGAGTATCGGGCAAACCAGATCTTTGGCTGAGTGGGAGCACACCAGAAACACAACTAGCTCGGTCCAAAGAAGTCCAGCTATCTGTTGGAGCATCTCATAAAACTGCAGCTGTCTTCTCAAACCTGCCCCCCCCCATCTTAACGAAGCCAGTGAAATACGACAAAAATCTAACAGCGCTGTTTTGGCGGCTTGGGCCTTCTTCTTTGCTGGTATTAATATTTTGAGGAAGGAAAGGAAGTGATTGGCAAGTTACGTTCCCCACTGAAGCTTCACAGTTCCTGTAACCACTGACTTGCAGGAGGCCAAGCTGCATTTGTCAAAGAAAAAGACAGTTCTCTCCTTATTTGTTGTGGTTCTTGTGATAAATATCAGAGGCTTCTTACAATCCAGTTCTGCACTGCCAAAGGATCAGCAAGCTTGGTCTTGCAGGGAAAATTATTCACCCTTCCAAATTTTCCACCACGGAGCTCTCAGTAATGATTTCCTGTGTATGTTGGGATACTCTGAAGTACATAATTGGAAGGGAAGCAAAGCACTGGGTGAAGTCAGCATTTTCTGTTTTCCTGTGGTTATATTTGAGGAAGTGAAGGAAAACATGTTAAACTCTATTTTCCCCCCGCCCTCTTTTGGTTTCTCACTTTTCTTTTTATTTCCTGTAGCTCTTGGGTCATTGTAGTAGCTGGAGTGTTGATTCTGCTCTTAGTGGGCTTGGCAGCTCGATTTCTGGTGAAAAGGAGACCCCCAAGCGACCCACTTTTCTATGGTACGTATTGGTGTGGTGTGGAAAAAGTAAACCAGAGCTGGCTAATCTATCATTCAAATCCCATGGCAATAAACCATAGTTTAACTACAGTTCATTGTACTAACTGCAGTTGGCGGAATTTGCCTGAATGCCAACTAACGTTAAGCCGAAATCCAACGCTACACTTTAGTGGCTGGTTAGTATTAGTTTTTACAATGCATAGGACTGAATTCCTCCATTTTCTGAATTTGCACAATGTAATGAATGAAATTCTTGAGTCCTTGTCCAGATCTGGCTTAATGTATTGTGCAAAGACAACTGTGGTGTGTATGATTAATTATTGATCTAAGAAATTAAGGTTTCCTGACATAAGAGCACATTGGGGTAAGTCTGAGATTTAGACAGTGGCCTGCATTAAACCACAATGCAGCTCCTTTATTTTTGACTGGGTGCAATTTGCAATCCCACCCATGTTTTAGCATGAAGCATCTTGTGGCTATAATTGTTACAATGATAATAAAAATAATTCTGGCTTAATGCAACACATCAAAGCAACTGGAAGCTGCTTTTCACAGCTCAGTCGGTCGATAGCCAAAGCTTTATTCCATTTTTCCATTTGCATTTCCGCTCTCTATCCCAGTGATGGCAAACCTTTTAGAAACCAAGTGCCCAAACTGCAACCCAAAAACACTTAATCATCGTCGAGTGCCGGGTGGGTGTGGCCCATTGGGTGGGCGTGGCTGCAGTGATAACAGCAGACTGGGTGGGACTAAAAGTTCAATCAATCAATTCCAACTTTGCAAGATCTTTTTTTTTCCCGCGAGAAGTTGAAATTGACTGATTGAACCTTTTTTTTTTGCACACGGCGGCGGAGGCCTAAAGTGAAAAGGTTTTATAAAACCCAGCTGAAGGCCTAGGACTGGGGCAATGGCACGAGGGCTCTGAGCGCCAAAGACCCATGCCATAGGTGCGCCACCACTACCCTATCCCAAAGTTAGGTGAAAACAAGAGGGCTGCAAATAGAGGATGGGGTTGATGACATCTGAATATCTGTAAAAGAACATCTGTGAATGGGGCCAGAAAATGGTTGCAGAAAAAAATGGCTTGTGCAATGATAAACGTGAAAGTCTTGGAAGAGACAAATGGTTTCTCTCGTAATTAAAAAGTGCTTTTCTTCCTTCTTCTTCTCCTTCTCCTCCTCCTTCTTCCTCTTCTTCTTCTTCCCTGGTTTTGCTGCAGTTTACGCGGTGTTCGCTTTCACCAGCATCGTCAATCTAATCATCGGGCTAGAACACGATGGGATAATCGATGGATTCATGACTTATTACTTGAAAGAGGTAAATAATCATGGCTCATTAGGGGTAGAGGAAGTGGGTCGGCAGCTGGGAGCCCCGGTGACGTGGTGGTTAGGAATACAGGATTGCAGACTGACTCTGCCCACTGCCAGAAGTTCGATCCTGACGGGGTTCAAGGTTGACTTGGCTTTCCACCCTTCCCAAGGTCAATAAATTGAGGACCCAGATTGTTGGGGGGCAATAGGCTGACTCTGTAAACCGCTTAGAGAGGGCTGTAAAGCACTGTGAAGCGGTATATAAATCTAAGTGCTATTGCTATTGCCCCTTCCTTCCTTCCTTCCTTCCTTCCTTCCCTCCCTCCCTCCCTCCCTTTTTTCCATAACTCTGCCAACTGCGAGCAGTTCAATCCTGACAGTATTCCAAGTGTGGCCTTACAAGACGTTATAAAGTACTATTAACACTGAGACCCAAAACTAGTTTGTGTCTCAGAGCATTATGTGACTCCAATGTTTACAATTGAGCCAGATGACAGCGCTGAGTTATTGGGTTGTTAACCACAATTTAGCATGTGGATAGCATGTTTATTAGGTCCTGATGGCTGTGAACAAGCTTTACGTGGAGATTTAAAATTGGAATTAGCTTTTTTAAAAAAACAAAACAAAATAAAATCTGCACCACACATGACAGCTTGAATGCTAAACTTGCCAAACCACTTTTTAGTCTACTAGATTAAACCAAGGTGGATTTGCATATTACTCCAGGTGGTGTGCAAATTCAGGAAAGCTAAACTTCATGAGCATTGAAGAAAGATAATAAATGGAGAATGACTTGAGAGTAGAAGCACTAGAAGGAAGTGAGGTTTACTCCCAGTGCGGTCCACAGGTTGAGAACCACTGCACTAGTATATAGCAGTATACACTATATACTAGCACTAGTATACAGTGGGGGGGATGCAGTGTCATCACAGGGGTTCCGCAAAGGCTTGAAGAAATGTTATGATTTAAATCTTGATTTAAGTCTTGGGGGGGCCTGTGGCTGTGGTCTGTGGCCAAAAAATGGTATTTGAAGGATGTCCAGGGTGAAGAAAAGGCGGAGATCCCCTGTCCTAGTGGCTTCCCGTCAGTATTACTGGGAGTGTTCTTGGCGGTTCCTTGATTAGGCTGTCGTTTATTGTTTAATTGTTTGTCCTAGCTGGGAGTTCATTGATTGCCCTATTTGGGTAATGAAATGTCTGCAGGCAAACAGCCAAGCTCACAGAGCATCAAGGACCCCCCACAGGTCAAGCCGGAGCTACAAATATTCTCTTCGGTTGGAGAAAAACCCATCAGACTTCCGTGAGAGAATTAAATTCATTGCAAAGACAACCAAGGCTATCATGATGCCACATTTTATCTCCGGGGGGGGGGTGGGTTTAAAACGCCAGACAGCTTTTTTTTATTTCAGCTGAAACTGCAAGGTGGCCTTATCTTCTCTGTCGCCCAGTTACTCGTGCGCTTATTTCCACAGGGCGAACCTTATCTGAACACGGCTTACGGCCACATGATTTGCTACTGGGATGGTTCCGTTCATTATCTGATGTATCTCTTGATGGTGGCTGCCATTGCCTGGGAGTACGTAAGCATGACAATTGGGGGGGTTACACATGACATTTGGGGGAGCTAAGTATGACTGGGGAAGTAAGCCTGACATTGGGGGGGGGGTTAAGCAAGGCATTTGGGGGGAGCCAAGTATGACATTTGGGGGAACTAACCATGACATTTGGGGCTAAGAATGACTTTGGGGGGTAAGCATGACATTTAGGGGAACTAAGCATGACTTTGGGGGGTAAGCATGATATTTGGGGACGCTAAGCATGACTTTGGGGGGCTTAGCATGACATTTGTGTGGGCTATGCATAACATTCAGGGGGTGATTGTTGGGTTGTTTTCATGCCTTCCTTTCCAAAAATTCTATCTGCTGCCTTAACAGCAGACGGGAAATAAATGCCGATTTCTTTAATCAAAAGAAAACCCTCCTCCAATTAAATAATGACAACAATGATAAAGAGCAGAAAAGAACAAAGATCCAGCATATAAAATGACTGAGTTGTTATGGGACATCAGTGTCAGGAAGAGCTCTTGAGCCAGCAGGGCTGAATATTTTAAAAATTGTCCCATTTATGTTTTAAGCTAATGCAATGTGATTACCCAATTATTTAGTGAAAGTAGTACATTCAGCGACTATAAATATATAGGCACATATTGTTTGTCTGAATGTACCTCCAGTAAGAGAACATGCATCACAATGGTATCTGAAAGCAAGGTTTTCTATTTTTCTCTGGCAGGGAAAATTATCGGATGATTGGCTTGTACTGGCTGGGATCCATCACAATGAGCATAATTGTCTTTATCCCTGGAAACATTGTGGGTAAGGAAACATTAAGAATACACTTTGCTTTGGGGCTTTAATAATTGACCTCTTTTTCGAGTCTTGAATTTTCAAGGCAATGAGATCAGTGGGTACCAATGAAATGCATATTATATAGTATTTTACAGCAGATTGGGAGCATCTTACTAACTTTGGCCAATCTCAAAAGCCAAGCAGCACGAGGTATGTTTACTGCTGCGATGGGAGATTGGCTAAGCTAGAATTACACACTAGCTGGAAAATAAAAAATGCATCCTGCAACTGGTCTACGACAACTCACCACAACCAACTTGCCTTGGCACGGGACTACTCACCATAGGAGAAGAGTTACATTAATATTGAAGAAACAGTTGGAATAGAATCATTAAAGAAAAGATGCCAAAAGGAGGGACCACATGAAATATGAATGACAAAATTTAAAGTATTTTTAAAAATAATTAAATTGAATTGTTGAATTGTCCTGCAGGAGTTGTCTCATGGTGAGTTGACCATGCTGATTGTCCCACAGTGAGTCCCAACTGTGGCAAGTTGGCTGCGGTCAGTTGTGTCATTCTGTGCTGCAACAAAGCAGTGGTTAATCCCTTTTGTTATGTTCCAAGAAAATTGCATGAAGTCATCAGGAGTTGAACGCTACTGGAAGGAGACTCTACTACTACTAATAATAATAGTAGTAAAGTTGGAAGGGACCTTGGACATCATCTAGTCCAACCCCCTGCTCAGGCAGGAAACCCTACACCATTTTGGACAAATGGCTGTCCAGTCTCTTCTTAAAAACTTCCAGTGTTGGAGCATTTACTGCTTCTGGAGGCAGGCTGTTCCACTGATTAATTGTTAATCCACTGATTAATTTAGTTCAACTACTCCTGCAGTTGAACTAAAAAAACAAATAATAAATCATAATTTAGTAAACTGAAAGTAAATTGTGTCCTAGCATTTTATCCTGTATCCTGAAATATGTTCAGATTTATATTTGGCAGGAGGAAATTTTCTTAAAAAACGAAGTAGAGAATGTTTGCATTCCCTTTCTTCCTTTTGTCTCCATTTCTTGGAATAAATATCAACCAGTATGGAGTTGGTCATGTTGGTTGCGAATTTTGAGAGTTGTCGCCTAACACATCTGGTGATCATCCAGTTAAAGGATGCTTAGCTCTCTCCAGATGTGCTTGAATAGAACTGCTACAATTCCCAGACAGAACATCTGGAGATTAGGCACATTTACATGAAATTGGCTGTGTCTTCATTATAAGAGAATATTGTTACAAGCTAGTCTGATCTGTGAGTCCAGCCAGGGAGCTTATCTCATGTCTAATGCACTGTGTGAAACTTTGAAAATGGGATACCCAAGTAAACCAGGATTCAAATAACCCAGCTTAAGTTGTCATACAAACAAGAGCAGTAAACGGCACTGAGTTTGTTGCGATTTTCATCTGAATAGGCATGCAAAGGATTGCCCTGCTCGACCTGTCATTAACAATTCTTCATTCATGTTTTCCCTGTTGCCGAATAGGAAAATATGGAACAAGAGTGTGTCCTGTATCCTTGTTAAGTGTGCCGTATATTTGTCTCCCGCTATGGGCTGGCTTCAAAATCTATAATCAACCACCAGCGGCTGACAATTTCCCAACAAAGGTATTCTTGTTATAATTGTCGTTATGAAAAGGAAGAGGAGGAAAAAGGCTTGAACTTCAAAAGAATTCTCTTGATCATCCGATTCCTCTTTTCTGAACATGTCATTGTGACTTGTCAGGCTCCTTCTTAAACAGCGGCACCCAATTTGCATGAACTATGGCTAGCTTCGCCTTGCGCTCAGCCAAAACCAAACAATTCACATTGCTGCTCCGAAGGCCTGGAACACGTCACTTCATCCTAAATGAAGACATTTTTCTGCTTAACTCAGCATGCACAGAATCCTGCCATATCCTTGACTTACACAGTTTGTTTAGTGTTTGTGGAGATTCTCAGTCATCCCAAAGGTACTTTTTCAAGTACCCATGGCTGTCCCAAAGGTACTTTTTCAAAAGGCAACTTTACTTCCTTTGTTTTAATAATAATAATAATAATAATAATAATAATAATAATAAAGTTGGAAGGGACCTTGGAGGTCATCAAGTCCAACCCCCTGCTCACGCAGGAAACCCTATACCATTTCAGACAAATGGCTATCCAATCTCTTCTTAAAAACTTCCAGTGTTGGAGCATTCACCGCTTCTGAAGGCAAGTTGTATCACTGGTTAATTGTTCTAAATGTCAGGAAATTCCTTCTTAGTTCTAGGTTGCTTCTCTCCTTGGTTAGTTTCCATCCGTTGCTTCTTGTCCTGCCTTCAGGTGCTTTGGAGAATAGCTTGACTCCCTCTTCTTTGGGGCAGCCCCTGAGATATTGGAACCCAGCTATCATGTCCTCCTTCGTCCTTCTCTTCATTAAACTTGAAGACGTTTTGCTTTTCATCCAAGACGCTTCTTCAGTTCCGAGTCAGAACTGAAGAAGCTTCTTGGATGAGAAGCGAAACGTCTTCAAAAAAAAACTCCCAAAGAAAACCCAGTTACCTTTTGAAAAAGCACCTTTGGGGACTAGTCCATTCCAAGTGATGACAGCACTGAAAAAAGCCATCAAAAAACATTCCCTTAAACCTCCATACAGGTGACTTACGACAAAAAAGTTTCTTCACATTTATGACTGGGGCAGCCTCCCCAGAGTCATGTGATCAACATTAAGACGCTTGGCACAACTGGCTCATATTTATGACGGTCGCCGTGTGTCCCAGGGTCACGTGTTCCCCTTTGGCGACTTCCTGACAAGCAAAATCAACGGGGAAGCCAGATTCACTTAACCACCGGGTTGCTAACCAAACCACTGCAGTGATTCACTTAACAACTGAGGCAAGGCAGGCTGTAAAATGGGGCCAAGCTCACTTAACAAACACCTCACTTAGCAACAGGAATTTTGGGCTCAATTACGGTGGTAAGTCAAGGACTACCTGCACAGAGGGAAACGTTCTGAGCATCACCAACCTCTCGCCTTAGGGCAGTGGTTCTCAAGCTGTGGGTTGGGACCCCATTTGGGATCGAACGACCATTTCACGGGGGTCGCCAAACCACGCAGTCCGCCATTTTCCCCCCCTTTTCCTTAGCTGTGCTACTCCCTTTTATTCTATTGGCTTTTGAAAGCCAATAGAATAGACTCTCTTGAATAGAGTCTAATTCTATTGGCTTTCAAAAGCCAATAGGAATTGTCCAGGCTGTCTCTGCCCTGCTGAGCCCACCAAAAGTCCCATTCTGCAAACGGTGCTGCACCAGTTGAGTAGTCCTCGACTTATGACGGGTTGAGTAGTCCTCGACTTACGACCGGTTGGGGGTTGTGGCATAAAAAAGGTTGAGAACCACTGCCTTAGGGGGAAATATAAATATTGGTTTTGTTTTGAAGGGAAGAGGAAGTGACAAAGCAAGTCTACAATTAAACATACTTTGGTTTCCAGCTCTCCTGCCCCCTCCACACACACACACCCCGTTGAAGAAGCCTTCCTCAAAAAACCTAACGAGGCTAAATCTTTTCCACAGAAAGCGATGCACACTGCTACTTGTGGGTTCTCCTTCTGCGTTGTTGCTGGCTCTTCTTTTTGTAAGAGCTGCAGTAAACGGCGGTGCAATTACTTCAGTCGGCTCCACTCCAAACCGTTTGTACTCCAGACCCAGTCAGGAAATGGGTTTTCTGTTTCTTGAGACATATTTTCTTCCAGGGTTTTTGTTTGTTGTTTTGTTTTGGTGGGACGAGGGACAAAAAGACGCTGAAACATGCTAAGCCGTAGTTTGCTTCCCTCTGATTTATGGAATTAGGTATAATTGGAGAGGTTTGCACCATTGTTAAAATTATAACATTTGGCTGGGTTGATAGGTCACGCTAAACCATAAATCATGGATTGGAAAGCTAATGGCCGAGGACTCCTAGGGCACTCAGCCCAAACTCAGCCGACCACACGATTTTTGGCAGGCGGCATGAATTAAGTCTGTGCATTGTTTTCCCAAACTGTTTTGACACTTTGGACCTGCTTGAAAAATCAAACTGTTAAATTGCAGAGGCAAGGCGCCTCCTAAAAGACATCTGGCATACGGTGCAAAGTATATTGTTTTGCAGAGATGCCACAAAGCCCTTTGCTGCTTTGGGCGCAGACTTCTAACAGGGCTTCCATCCCCTTTGCAGATCATTAAAGAAATTCAGAAGCAAAATCTGCTGAGAAGACCGACTGACTTTCTCTTGGCTTCGTATTTCATTTTGGCAACTGGATTTTGCCTCTTCAGGGGCATGGTAAGTTTCTTTCTTTTTTTAAAGAACAGAATAAAGAGACCGGAATCTTATAACATGAGGTGTGTGCCATATACTGTACACTTTGTGCAAAGCATTAAATTTGAATTGAAAAGCATTTAAGTTTGTTTCTATGTTTAAACTTGAATGTGGGGGCAGGAAAAGTGAGCATCTGGACATAGACATCCATGGGGGGAGGGGGGCAGGTGTGATAAGGTTTATGAACTGGTGCGCAATGCTGCATTGCAAGTCCAGAAGGGTGGGATGTGTCACATAATGTCACAATGCATGTTTTCTAACTTTGCACGTTGTAGGAGGTGACCAGGCTAAACCCGAGGGAGGGGTCAAATGCATCATAAGTCACGAGTCCGTGCATGCCCAAAAGAGATCTAAGTCCAGCTCACTTTGAATTCCTTCTTGATTCCCACTCATTTCTCTTGACTGTTAGTAGCTCAGATTTTTGTAGAGAGCTTAAGCTTGCAATACATCTTTATACTCATTTGAATCTCCCGATTTCCCCTGCGCTTGACACACACTTTGTCATCACATCCGTGTGGTTAAGAACAGACACTTACAGCTCCAAGTTGTTTCTCTCTTCCTCCCTTACCTACCTAGGGAGATGGCAGTTGGAACAAGATTTACACCAATTTCCTAACCAGTTTATTACACCAAAATTATGATCCAAATATTATGGCTCCAATTTTTCTCTAGATTGTTTTGGACTGTCCAGGTGAACTGTGTCGACTTTACAGCCAACTTCATGAGCCATACCTCAAAGATCCTGTTGCCTATCCAAAACTTCAGGTAACCCAACTGAGACATTTGCATTGCGATGCACACCTAACATTTGGTAGCTATGCTCACACATTTTGAGGACCTGGAATGATTACTTTTAATTTATGACCCTAAGTCAGAATTGAGTGGATAAGGTTATGGATTAGAGTTCTGTGTGAATTTAAATATTGGGATTGGAAACTGGAGATTACTGTATGCATGCATATGAACCCAACAAAGACAGTTTCTTCAGCAGGCATGGTTTAGCCTGATATGAGGCATGATTGGAGAAATCATGCTAATTGTCAACATTTTTAGATTAAGAACTTATTATTTGACTTTGTACAACATCCAGGTCGCAATTTTTAAGCTTTAAAACAGTTGCAGGGTTTATATTTTGCATCAATTAAAAATATCAACTATGACTTGACAATGTATGTGTACCCAACTATTATGGTTCATAAACCATAATTTATGGCTTAGATTACAGCAGTCTGGTTTAAACACAGCACACTAACCATCACTCTGCCTCAGTTACAAAATTGTATAAGAAGACCAGACCTTCACACATAAATTTTGATTAAGAGACTGAAGGCTAAAACGTGGGAAGAATGGTTTACAGGAATTGGGTATGTCTAGTCTAAGGAAAAGGACTAGGGGAAACATGATAATACTGTTCCAATATTTGAGGGGCTCCTACAAAGACGAGGAGGGGGGTTAAATTATTTTCCAAGGCCCCAAAAGGCAAGACAAGAAACAATGGTTGGAAACTAACCAAGGAGAGAAGCAACCTACAACTAAGGAGAAATTGCTTAATGGTGAGAGCAATCAACCAATGGAATAGCTTGCCTTCAGAAAGTATGGATGCTCCATCACTGAAGGCTTTCCAAAAGAGACTGGACGACCATTTGTCTAAAATGATTAGAGTCTTGTTCTCCAGCAGGGGCTGAACTAAAAAACCTCCAAGGTCCCTTCCAACTCTATTCTATGTTCAAACGATGGCTGCTGCTTTGAAGGTGCAGAGATCAATTCTCTTCTCTTCTAACATTCAGATGCTAGCCTACATGTTCTACTCGGTGCCATACTACATAATTTCGGTCTATGGTCTGCTTGTACCTGGATGTTCCTGGATGCCCGATTTAACTCTTATTCATGCTGGAGGACTAGCCCAGGTAAGACCAGAACATTTTTAATGATCCCATATTGGAGGCCTGGTTTTCCTCTGTACCACTTCCACATTCAAAAGAGAGCGAGAGCCATGAACTAAAACCTAGATAATCCTAAGTCAGTGGTGGCAAACCTATGGCACGGGTGCCAGAGGCGGCACTCAGAGCCCTCTCTGTGGGCACGCAGGCCGTCGCCCCAGTCCTAGGCCTTTAGCTGGGTTTTATAAAACCTTTTTGCTTTAGGCCTCCGCCGCCGTGTGCAAAAAAAAAAAAAAAAGGTTCAATCAGTCAATTTCAACTTCTCACGGGGAAAAAAAAGATCTTGCAAAGTTGGAATTGATTGATTGAACTTTTTAATCCCAGCCAGTCTGCTGTTACCACTGCAGCCCCGCCCACGCAATGGGTCCTGCCCACCCAATGGGCCACACCCACCCGGCACTCGATGATGCATAAAGTGGGTTTTGGGTTGCAGTTTGGGCACTCAGTCTCTAAAACGTTTGCCATCACTGTCCTAAGCTATGGTTTACTGAGTAGAGCACAGTTTGGCGCCATGGGGAAGGTGCTGGCCTAGAAACTAGGAGATGATGAATTCTAGGTTCTCCCCCCCCCCAGGCATGAAAACTAACTGGTTGACTTTGGGCCAGTCTTCCTCTCTCTCAGCCAAACCACGTGATAAAGTTTTGTGGAGAAAAGAGAAGAAAAAGGAGACAGCATTAAGCGTATCTGCTGCTTTGAATTGGCCAAAATATATAAACAGTGGAATAAACTCATTATTGCTGTCTGAGTTCACATATCACCCAAGCCATTAAGAAGGGTTCACCAACTCCAACTTCATACGCTGAAGCCAAAAACTAAGTTAACCACATAGGCTGGGTATGACCAACCTGCTAACCTAAAATGAGTAGTTAGCTAATTTGTGGCTCACAGACATGTTCAGACTGAGCCAGTGCGCTTCATATCTGGTTAAATTAAGTTGGATGAACTCAGGCAACTGTATTAATCAAATAAAGATGGTTCATTTAGCATGCTGTATCAACCTAGGCCTCATAGCTTAGCATAATAAACTCCACTGTTCAATCCCTGCTCAGAAGGGATAAAGCTACCTATTCAATTTCTTTTGCTGTTGTTTGCACACGGGGCAATCTGAATGCTGTTACTACTCAGACAGAACTATTGTTGCCACTGGAGATATCACCCTACTAAGAGCCCCACCCAGTATCTATTCAGTGGATGAAGAGTTTGCAAAGAGGATAAAGACAGCAAGATTGAAGAAAGCAGATAGATTGGTCAGCTGGCTTTTTTTGGGGGGGGCACCATTGAGATCAAGGCTCTGAATTCAGCAGAGGTAGAAAGAACAGTCAGAACTGAAGAAGCTTCTTGGATGAGAAGAGAAACATCTTCAAGGGAAAACCAAGAAAGTCCAATTGCCTCTTGAAAAAGCACCTTTGGGACAACCATGGCCTGGATGACGGAGAATCTCTCTAGACAGGTAGAAGGAGGATCTTCAAAACCTCACCCAAGAAACAGCGGGAAGAACGTACCTCCAAACAATTTCAGATACTATTAATCCAGGAGATAAGGGTGCTACTTACAAGGAGAACTGCTACTGCTCAGTAAACAACCGTTATCAGGAAGTATTCTTTAATATCTAGGATTCTGATTCTCTGGGTTTGTCAGGGGGAAGAGATGCTTACATCTGATTCTTCCTCAAAAGAAGAGTTAGTAGATTATTTACTTCTTTATCTCATCAAATACTAAAAAATGGCCCAAGATGGTTAATGGCAGGAAAAAAGCTCAGGTTTCAAACCCAACAATACAGTCGCATTAAAAAGAAAAACAGTTTAAAAAAGAAAGAACAAACCTTCTTAATTTTCAATGTTTGCCTAAATCAGTGGTGGTGAACCTATGGTACTCAGAGCTCTCTCTGTGGGCACGCACGCTGTCGCCCCAGTCCTAGGCCTTCAGCTGGGGTTTATAAAACCTTTTCGCTTTAGGCCTCTGCTGCCATGTGCAAAAAAAAAAAAAAAAAAGATTCAATCTATCAGTCAATTTCAACTTCTCGTGGGGGAAAAAAAGATCTCGCAAAGTTGGAATTGATTGATTGAACTTTTTAGTCCCACCCAGTCTGCTGTTACCACTGCAGCCACGCCCACCCAATGGGCCATGCCCAGCCAATGGGCCACACCCACCTGGCACCCAATGATGCATAAGTGGGTTTTGGGTTGCAGTTTGAGCACTCGGTCTCTAAAAGGTTCGCCATCACTGGCCTAAATTGATGAAACACGATAGCTGGCAGATTTTCTTGGGGACAGCTTCCACCATTATGGAGCCACCATCAAGAAGATGCTGTGCAACCTTTTCCCAATAGCAGGAAATCTCCATGGCTGCTCAGCTTAAACATGGAGATATATATTCCTCCTATCGCAAATGCTGTTACCACACAGACAGAACTACTGTTGCCACTGGAGATAGTTCCTCATCCTACCATCCTTCTTTGTTCTCTTATCATAGGATAGAGACTAATATTTGGACCTCTCCACTGATCAGCCCTAGCCCACTTTGCCCATAAAAGCTCAAGTTGTCTGGAGCATGACCTGGTCAGCCCTTCCTCTGTAGACCACAGTCAGGGATCATAAATTCAGGTCAATCATCACCATTGCTAATACACAAATAAATCACCGCTTGAAACAGGGGATGACGGATGAAAGACAAAGGACAAAACAGTCCTGAGCTGTCCCAGTTGCTTCTATCTTTACATGTTTGCTTATGCTAAAAATATTCTTTGGCTTGGCAGACTTCTGCTCTTGCATATAACCTTAGATGTAAAGTTACGGTTATGTTCCAGAAAGCCCAATTGGAGAAGAAGCAACACCTTCTTCTCTAAAGACGAAGCAAACTGAAACTATCCAAAGTTTTGCTCTTAGAAAAGGAAACAGCAAATTACTCCATTTTTTTTTTCACCTTAACTTTTGAGCAGATGAGGTCGCAAGTACTTGGGAAACGCTACATGTCATTGTGTCAAAGCTCAAAGCAGGAAAACTCTAGTGGATGTCCTGATTCTATGCCAGGAGCTGACACAGAGACAATAGATCTTCTCCAGAACATTCTGATTCTCAAATCAGAATAATAGGATACTCTTATTATGTACCAAGCTTGATTGATGCTGTGCTTAAAATAACAAGCAAGTTAATGGAAAGGGGACGTACGTTGAATTAGGCATAATATGGGGTTGCTTCCCTCTGGTTTAGTTTGGTGGTTGCCCAACTTAATGGTTTCCTTAATGGGGTTAGCTAGTTGACTAAGCCACGGATGGTTAGCTTCAGTGTTTCCACTAAATCAAATCACTGTTTTGTGAAGGGAGAATTGCTGATTTCCTGCTTGTGACAAATGAAGCAAAAAAAAAAAAAATTATATCTGTAATCTCGACCCACGTTTGTAATATTTTAATTTTGTATTTCATATTTTTTGTTTTTATCTCTCTTTTTTAATCGAAACATGCTGTGAATGTGCCCTATGATCAATAAATGTTTTACGAGCTGGGTTTGCCCAAGATGCAAAGCTACAAGCCACCGAAGGGGATTGTGTCTTGGAAAGGGCACACATGATGATTTTGAGATAAGGGGATGCATGTTGGAGGGTTGCCAAACAGCCCAGTCCCCCAAAATGCAAGGGTCCAGAACAAAGAAGTGGGGGATGGAGTCCCATTAAAAAATCCCATTAAAAAGCCACAGCACAGGGGCTTTCAAGAGTCATGGGTGAGGGGTCTCTGGCTGAAGGAAGCGTGCCAATGCATCCAGTGATTATGGGGACTATTAACGCTGATTCCATACAAGTGACAACTCACAATTCATTCCTTCTGCTTTCCAGGCTCAGTTCTCACACATTGGCGCTTCCATACATGCCAGAACGCCGTACATCTACAGAGTTCCCGATGAAGGGAAGGTGTGGTTTCTCGTTCTCAACGTGATCCATGCAGTTCTCCCCCAGCTGTTTGCATATCGCTGTGTCCGCAACCCTGAGTTTTTCATGAAAGCCCAACTGGAAGAGAAGGTGGACTAAGAAGATGGCTTCAACCTGTGGGGCGTCGCAAAGACGGGGTCCCAAGTTGGAAGCAAAATTACTGAAAATAAAAAGACTTCTGTCTTTCATAATATTTCTTTGAGAGCTTGCTTCCTGTTTCCGTCAGATCATGGGAATCTTTCTCCAAACAGAATCAGTTTTGTTGGGGACTCGCTCCAAGAATGTTTGTGGGGCGGTGATGGTGGCGACATTTAAAACATTGTGTTGTCCAAACTCTTGTTAATAAACTCTCTCACTCATTGTCTAAGTACTCCCCCTCTGTATCAAATTCATTTTCAACTGCAAAGGTGAATTAAATAGTTTCAGGAATGAATGGTGGTTGGGAAATTTTTCTTCAGCCCTGTCTAAAGTGGGGGTCAGTCTTGACCGAACCCTGGATTCTTCTTTTTTAAATTTTTGAGGGGACATATTAAAGACAAAATACGAGAAGAGTAGCTTTCAATCTTGGCTGGGAAATGATGATCCAAGACCAATACAATCATCCTAGAAGTCTTGCCAATCTTGCTGATGGTGAATAGTGCTGTTTTGTTATTATGAAGAGCTACCAGGAAACTACAATACATCTGCCCAGAATGCTAACCCGTGGTTTCTTAACCTGTGTTTATTGATTGAATCCAATCATCTTGGCTCGGACAATACTGAGTCACCAGTAAGCTTACTTAGAGTCTAGCATACTCTAATAAATGGAGTAGCGATGACGTTCTTAAGGATTTGCCTTCTTCAGCTCTGCACATTCTCAGTACTGCTTTCAAGCAAAGTCAATGAAGCAAGCTGGATTTGCTTAATGACTGTGGCAAGCAACTGCAGTGATGTGCTTAACAACTATGGCCAAAAAGATCCTAAAACTTGGCATGACTCACTTAATAACCCCCTGCTTAATAATGGAAATTCTAGCTCCCGTTGTGATTGTAAATTGAGGACCACCCATAGGCAATGCTAGCTGCAATCATATAGTCTATATCATTTTTGTGGCCCAAATTAAGGTACAATTTGCTGTTGCTTTGTTCCAGGATTTTGTTTTTAACTTTCCGCTCTTGTTATTTCCTAGAAGTCTCCCATCCAAATATTAACCATGCCCAACCCTGCTTAGCCAAAGTTGGCTAGGCACCAACTAGTGGGCAGTGGTTAAGGTTCTAAGCCAGGGGTCTTCAAACCTGGCCCTTTTATGACTTGTGGACTTCAACTCCCAGAATTCCTCAGCCAGCTTCAACTCCCAGAATTCCTCAGCCAGGCACGCTGGCTGAGGAATTCTGGGAGTTGAAGTCCACAAGTCATAAAAGGGCCAAGTTTGAAGACCCCTGTTCTAAAACTTAACAGCGATGTGAAGGTTTAGCATAGCAATAGTACTTATATACCGCTTCACAGTGCTTTACAGCCCTCTCTAAGTGGTTTACAGAATCAGCCACTTGCCCCAAACAATCTGGGTCCTCATTTTACCGACCTCAGAAGGATGGAAAGCCGAGTCAACCTTGAGCTGGTCAGGATTGAGGGAATCGAACTCCTGGCAATGTGACCAGTGAGTTAGCCTGCAGTTCTGCATTCTAATCACTCCGCCACTCGCTTTGTCGGCCATTTGCAGACAGACAGCCTCCGAATGTCAGATTCAGCACAACAGCCACAAATCAAAGCTGTGGGAGCAACACAAGAAAGCTTCCCTCTGCATTGGTGTTCTATTATAACCAACTCAAGTGTTAACAGAATGCGTTGCTTTAATACTCGAGTTACATGAATACCTCACATTACACGTTATGAAGCCAAATATGACGCTAACTCAGCTGCTTACAACCTCAAACCTTACTCCCGATACACATTCCAATAAATTTATTCTGTAAAAACAATAGTTTTTTTGTTTTTTGATTTTTTTTCCTTTTTTTTTTTGTACAGTAAACTTTTCAACTACAAACCTTGAGTACGCAAAAGATGGTCCAAGGACAAGCATAACAAGGGTTGATAAAACCGGACTAAACCCATATGTCTTCACAATAAAAGCTGGCATTAAAAAATAAATAAAATCCTCTATTCTCACAATAGCAACAATAATGTACACAGAATAATGGATTCTGGAATGCTTACCTACTAGTCTAGATCTAGTTTTGAGAGTAGAAAAAAAAAACAGAAAAATGACAGGGGTTTTTTCCCCCCTTTTTTGTTTTTTTAAGCTTTTCAATATAACTGTTATTCTTATATTTTAACTGGATGTTTTGGCTTTGTTTCCCATTGGCCTTTCGGTAGCACAATTAAGCTTAAAAATGGAAGGCGTCCCCAAAACACAGTAAGCTCCGATTTGTATGGGGGCCTGAAAAAAAAGTTCCTTGTTATTCATCTAAAGAAACACAAAAGACTTTCACTAACTCCACATATAGGAACTAAGTTAGAGAAACTTACGTTACGTTATGATCTTGAAAAGTATTAAGAGTATAGCTAAGCTAGAGGGTTCTAATAAGGAAAGGTACTTTCTTACAATTATTGACTTTTTTTTTTATAATGACAATAAATCAAGGACATTTTGTTAGGATTTAAAAACAGAGATGGCCAATTTCTATAATCCTGGTAGGTGGGAAACAATTTAATTTCCAGACAGAAGTTAAAAAGTGGACTGCAGGAATATATATATATATATTTTTTTGCCATGGCGAATTCAATGATCTATAAATGTGATGGAATCTTGATTTCGTATTTTGGAGGTCCACACTGCTCTACATACAAAATATGTACATTTACATAATGCATACAAAATCCAAGGAGAGATGGTGACCTTTTTCTTACAAGCTGAAAATACGTTCCCCCTCCTTCCCCCCCCCTCAAAATGAAAATGTGAGCAAATCTGCTAAAAAAACCCAAAAACCAAATGTGAGCAAATCTGCTAAAAACATCAAAACCAAAACTGGATATCAGTGAGGATAAAATTGCTCAAGACCACCAGCATTCCTCACTTGCTAGTTGGCCATCTCTGTTTTTAAAATCCTTTTTTTAAAAAAAAAAATGCAGAACAACAAATGGATAAAGGGTTAATTTAAAACTTCATGATTTGTTAAGCAGAACAGAGATCCTTGTGGCTTTTTAGGAGAGGGCGTTCACTTCTAAGTGTTTAATTTGTTTTCTCTAAAAGGCAGGTTTTTAAGATTCGATTTAAAATTTAAGAGATTTTTGCCCTTCTTTTTCTGTAAAAAAAAAAAAAAAGAAAAGAAAAAAGAAGTATCTAAAAATGGCCGTTGTCGGTATGGGTCTTGCTTGAAAAGAGCCTTTTGGTGCAATTAAATAAAATGACATTTAGAAAAGGACCTTGTGGGGTGTCGATGGGGGATGATGCTGAAAGTTGCTGCTGAGAACAGAATGGGTAGGAATGTGGCTAAATGTGCATACAAACATATATGCTGCTGATGAAGGGATGTGCTGACTTCAATCAAATCCAAGAATATTAGACAACCAAACATGTGACTTTCTTGTGTCTTCCCTTAATATGCAGCAGTCAATATGTTGGTTAAGTCTAGGGAGAAATAAGAAGACAAAGAGGGATCACTTTTTCAGACTGAAATGATTCCATCAACAGTGGAGGCATTCATACAAAAGAAAACTTAACTTGTTGAACAAGTTTAGGAACAAGCTGTCCCAAAGGTGTTTTTTCCAAGAGCAACTGGATTTTCTTGGTGTTTCCCTGAAGACGTTTCGCTTCTCATCCAAAAAGCTTCTTCCAATCTGACTGAATGGTGGGGAAGGGTTTCTAGTCCTTGCAGTCACCTGGTCCTTAACACTCTTTCTAAGAGTTGTTGAGGCCACTTGGAGGTTTGTCTGTGCCCTCAAGATCATCTGCAAATGGGTGTGGAACCTTCTTGGAACTGCCAAAAGGACTGTGTTGTAGACAGGAGGTAGGTGGTGTCGTATCCCTCCCCCTCTGTTGAGAGACGGCTGTTCAATTTTAACGTTGCAACTGCAAAAGCTTCTTGGAGGAGAAACGAAATGTCTTCAAGGAAAAATAAAGAAAGCCTACTGGCCTTTTGAAAAAAGCCCCTTTGGGACAACCGTGATCTGGATGACTAAGAATCTCTATCGACATTTAGGAACAAGCCAGAACCCATATTGCGGACAGCAAAGTAACTATGGCTTGTCTGACTCAATTCGCTTTCCTTCTGATGGTACCCAGCAGAGATGGGGAGAATACAAACCATCCAGTCTGAGCCCGTTCAAATATATATATAAAAAACATAGTTAATACAAGCCTTGGTTTGTAAAACAAAGTTAACCAGATTTAAGTAGATTAGTTAAAGTAAGCAACTAATCAGAACACCAAACGTACCAGGGAAATATCTAGAATTCAGTTTTTAAGAAGTAGTGAGAGAAGCCACAGGGAGAGGACTGTAACTGTCCAAAGTCTCAAATTTGAAGAACAGCCAATGTAACTGTGTGCAGTGGCAGGTTCAGAAACTACTCTGGACACCTGGGTAAAAAAAACAGAGGACCTTTTGACCAGCTGACCGGGAGATCACGGTTGAGAGGCTGAAAAAGTTCTTCAGCTTGGGAGATGGCTTCTGAAAGTAAAAACCATCCAGTAAAGTGAAGTTTCTGAAATGTAATCCATTTGAATAAATCTAGTTAAAGAAAACTATGGGAAAATCTTGCTTTTGGACATATCCCTGTCGATCTTGATGCCACGTTGCTCTGCAACTTAGGCCAGGATTCTGCCTGCCTTTCTATCTTCCTTATCTCAGTGTTTCTAAGACGTGTTGAGGTTGCCCTTTTAGATGGATCAACTGACCTGTCCAACAGTCAGGCTGGCTGTGGAATTTGGGGATCATAGCCCGCTGCAAGTTGTACCGGGTTGAAAAAGGACAAATGGATCCCTCCCCGCCTCCCCACGTATCTATTTAAAATCACACACAGCTTCTGAAGATCTAGATCCTAAGCCTTACCCCTTCACTAGTTTTCTGCACGTCTGAAGAAGTGTTTCGTGTGTCGTTGCCTGCTTCGCCGGCATCAGAACTGCTTTTATTTTCTTCCTCTTTGCAATCCTTATCATCTTCGTCTCCGGGAGATTTTCTTGACTGCTTGGAAGATTTCTAGTGGTATTCACCAAGGGGAAAAAAAAAGTGAAACCAAACCTTTTCCCAAGCTATGTAGCCTAGTATTTTAGTCAACTGTAAAGTTTTGGTAAGAGTATCAAGATGACTCTTCTTGGGTTTACTTACAAATGCATTGATTTGTTTCCTGCGATAGAAAAAGGAGCCTGATTCTTAATCGTTCCATACCTTCCCTTCCTAAATGCCTTCCCTCCACTTAGATTTACAGACCTGAGTGTCCTTTTTCAAACCTCGCGGCATGTTTATATATCATTGCGCTTACTATTTCCTGAGGTTAAGAATCCATGAATAATTGTGTGTTCTACAGAAATGAAGATTAGGATGAATTAGGATTGTGTTGTGGCCAACCTTAACCCTGAGTGTGTTTTCTTTATTTTTTTTCTATAGCCACAGGGAAAAATTACACACCTCAGCAAGTTGAAGAACAATTCTCGAAAGCAGATTTTTTAAAAAACTCATCCTTGACTTAACTGCAGTTAAGGAAACATTCTATAGATCAGGAGTCTCCAACCTTGACAACTTTAAGACTTGTGGACTTCAACTCCCAGCATGGCTGGTTGAGGAATTCTGGGAGCAGAAGTCCATAAAGTCGTCAAGTTGCCACGGTTGGAGACTCCTGCTATGAATCAAAACCGCTCCAGGGTCATCACTGAGAACCTCATGCGTTACCTTTGAAGTGTAAGATTTTTTCCGTTTTGAGCCCGCTTTTTCGTTCTTCCTTTTGCCTTTTCCATCTTCTTCTACCCGATCCCCTTCTTCCTCACTGCTAGCATCTGCCGTGTTTCCTCCTTCACCTTCAGTTTCTGAGGAGCTCTGTTGCTGAATAGCCTTGGAAATAAAGCCAATAATTAGACCTCAACTAGGTTTTGCTTGGTAACAGTCCAGGATCACATGACCCTGGAACACTGCCACCATCATAACGACAGGCCAGTTGCTAATGAATATTTATTTACTATCTTTTATTCTTATGGTTATTGTTAACTCAGTTTATTATAATTGCTTAGTATTATATAAGTGATGTTTATTTGATTTTGGTACCCGGATGGTAACTTGCTTGTTAAGCGTGGATTTTTTGCTGGGGGGGTAACCCCATCACTGTACCCATTCCCAATTCCCCTACGTTTACCTCTTCCTACACCCCTACTGATCCCATCCGTTTCCTATCTTTATAAAACCTATCTATCTATCTATCTATCTATCTATCTATCTATCACTAATTTCGCTAAAAACATGATTCCTGGGTATAGTCATATTATAAAAACAAACAAACACAAACACCAGGAAAGATTTAAAACTAAAAACGTTTAATCTAGTGCCAAGCTTTCGTCGGCCAACTGCCGACATCATCAGGGCTTAAAACTGGTCGATGGGAGTCTCCTTTATAGTGCACACAGTTTATGCATATATATATATATAGAATAGGCCAGTTGCCAAGTGTCCGATTTTTGATCATGTGACCACGGGGATATTGCAAAAGTGTGAGAAATGATCATAAATCCCTTTTTTTCCCACTGCCGTAGTAATTTCAAACAGTCACTAAGTTGAGGACAACCTTTATATCAATGACGCAACTTGAAGAGGTGTGTGCTTCCTCTTATATCACAACTCAATCATGCTCCATACACAGCGGGTGGTAGATAGCAACATGTCTGGTAAGATCCTTTCTCCAGTTGTATAAAATCCTATTTAATCATCTTTGTGTCTTTTTAACCCACACTTGCTTAGGCAAAAATCTCACAAGACAACAGCTCAAACCCCAAAGGTTCTGGCCACGTAAGTCTTGCTTTCTGTCCTTACTATCACATATTGACAAAAAGGAAAAGGTGGTGGTGGGGAGGGGTTTAAAAAAAAGGAAGTCCATTTTTACCTGGTATCCACTAAACTTGACCCCGGGGTTGTTTTCGATTTCCCACAGGCCTTCATTAAACCCTTTTCGTTTGTTTGATTTTCCAAACTTATCTTTATATTCTTTGTAAGGGAAGAGGTCTTTAGGCCCCAGAAATGCCCTGTAGTTGAGAAAAAAAAGGATAGAATCAAATGATAGAGCAAATTATTATAATCCGTATCTTCTACAGACATGTGTTATTCATTAACTAGAGAAAAATGGCAGATATAAATCCCCTTTTGTTGCCTAGGCTAGCTGTGGCTCGGTTCAGATACCACATCAAACCATGGTGTGTGAACGCCACCTCATCACTTAAATCTGTGATTAGAGCTTTGAAAGATGAGCCCCTTGGTGGCCTTCAGAGGAAAAATATAACATCTGCCGTTGTTGTTTTTCCCCCATTCAAGTATCAGCTTTCCCCCACTTTGGTACACTAGCTCCTGTGGCATCGTTTGGCCACACTCTACTTTGCGGCTAGTTCATTTCTCTGCCGCCACCAGGCTGAATGGCTGACATCTTAGCTGTTAGCCAGGAGGGCTACAAATGCTCTCATTGTCAAACTGTGCTCTCATCAACATTAACAGAGAGAAATGCATTTCCTGAATATAAAGGTTGTAGTTGTGTTGTTCACGGTTTCTTTTCCTGTAAACAACAGCAGTTGCCTTGCGGTTAAAAGTTTAGCAGGACCTGCCCTCCTGTGGTGAAGAGATAGAAGGCACTTGCCAACTTTACGGCAACACACTGTTCGTTCCATCACACAAGCATTGCGTTCATGTCATCACTTTGGCTAGGAAGACACAGCACATTTTGCTGACCCCCTGCCCTTCTCCTGCAGTTCTTCACCAGCGAAGAGAACGGCAATCTCTGCATTTTCAGAAACATCTCCTCTTTATGCATTTTTTAGAATGATTGTCGAAATGCGACCTGGTTGTATATATAGATTTTTCTCCAAGCTTCTGGCACGCAGTCCAGCTGGTTTCTCGTCATCCAAAGGAAACCAGGATCTGGCGTACTGATTTATGATCACATGAAGTTAAGGAGAGTGGGAGCTGCAGAGAAGCCACATCTGGAGAGCTCCAAGTTCTGCACTCTTGCTTACTGTTGTTGCTTCCTCCCCCCCTTCCCCCCCCACTCAGGATCATTCACTAAAACTTATTCTTGGCTTCTTATGAATTGTTTGGGATATTTTTACTCTCTCTTGTATTCAATCATGTCCAAATCTCAGGGACTGCCTGGAGAAATCCCTGAGGTCTTCTTGGCAAGCTTTTTGAGAAGTGGTTTGCCATTGCCTCCTTCATAGGACTGGGAAGAGGTGACTGGCCCAAGGTGACCCAGCTGGCTTCATGCCTCAGGTAGAACTAGAACTCATAGTCTCCCAGTTTCTAGCCCGACGCCTTCACAACAACACCAAGCTGGCTTTCTTGGCATCTTGCAGGTTGTTTGAAATCATACCTTCTGCTGAATCGGTTCCAGCTGCAGCTCAAAGGCAGGCTGCAAAAGCAGAAGGCACCTCACAACGACAGAATTCTATGGAATCTTGGTTTCCTCCACATGGCCTGTGAACCTTTCTGTCTGGTTATATGAGATCTTAGAAGGCTGCGTCTTCAGAAGGAGCGGCTGAGAAACACCCCACTTTTGAGATCAACGTCCAGCTGTGAGGACTTCAACACCCAGAATCCTCCTGCTTTGGCAGCCATTGCTGAGAATCCCGGAAGGGCTCCACATCTGGCGCCTGATCAGGCCGAGGAAGCCTACGGCAGCTACAATGTTTAATCTCGATGGTGTCGTGATTGGTGAGGAGTGTTTGTCTGGTGACTCATGAGGCACGGTCCGTTTTTGCCAATCAAGTCCTATATGAAAGTGTCTCCTCAACAGCTGCCAAGGAAACAGCCGTGACTCCGCAGGCAGAGAAGCGCAGCGAAGCCCTCGGCCGCCCGTAAAAAGGCAGAACGGTGTGTTGATGCTGTGCTGAGGGACGATCCTGTCTTTGACCTTTTCCTTTAGCTGCAAGGTGTTGTTGTGACAGGCTATGCGAGGGCTGCTTTCACATTCTGAACTGCTGCACTTTGAGAAGAAGAGAGTCTTTCTTCTGCGGTGGCAAAAATCAAGAGTCTGATAGCATCTTCTCTAAGGCCTCTTACGAAAAAGCGTAAGCTTTGCTGACTGGCAGCTCACGTCATCGGATGCAATCAGATGGTTTGCAAATGCACGCTTTCCCCTTAAGTAATGGGGATGACCGATATCCTTCCACACTGTTTTTTAAAGCCTCATTCAATTCTCCACTCCCCCCCGCCCCCGCAATGTATTAAATTTCCTGGATCTAAAGGTCTGACCTGCTGAATTAATGCATACTCTCTTAATTGCTCTTTGTCTTTTCAGATGGGGAAGGGAACAGAAGGGCTATAATTATGGGTTTCCTTGCATTATCATCATCATCATTATCGATCATCGCACAGTCAGCCAGATGTTCAGACTGGATTTGGCATTTTGTCTACCTATCGAGTCCTTACCCAGGACCTGGGATAGGCAGATGAGGATGTTTGATGGTATTACAGGTATCGTTGCAGGATGGAAGCAGTTCCTAATAAGGCCGCCTTTTGCAACTGACTAATAGCGAATTTGTCAATGCCAATTGTGTTCAAGTGGTGCTCCAGTTGTTTTGGGATTATTATTATTATTGCTTTTCCTATGTTACCATAAAAATGCAAAGCGGAAAATACTGCAATGGCAGGAAACAGGTCGTTAAAACCTCCTCCATTTGGGAAGAGAAGTCACCTGATAACCCTTAAGAAAAAGATTATTCAAGGGACAAATTACATAGCTAATAATCATATCCCTTCCTCCTAATACTTAGAACAGGGGTCCCCGACTTCCGGTCTGTGGACTGGTAGTGGTGGTCCAAGGCATGCCAGCAAACGGGCCACGCAAACAAGCAGAGTCCCATCCACCGGATGGCAAGCACTACACAAAATCACACCCCCCTCCGGTCCATGGAAAAATGTCTCTCCACGGAACTGGTCCCTGGTGCCCAGAAAGTTAGGGGCCGCTGACTTAGAAAGCAGCAAAAAGCATGAACTCCTGATGCAGTTGCAATCCGGTCTGAGATCACAGCAAAGAAGAAACCTTCATTAAGTATGCAGATCTGCAAAATATTTCTGAATGTGAACGGTTTCAAGCTCATTTGCATTCAAAGCAGCTGTTGCAATCTCTGATAGACAGATAGCCTTTATTGTCATTTTTAACTGTGGGCACAATGGATGGATAGATAGATAGATAATAATCCTGAGCTCTGTTAGACCCTTGAATGCCTTCTGAGACCAAGGACCAGAACATTTGCAATAATATCAGAAGAGCCACTTTCAGGATGTGCAAAAACGTACAAGGGCTTCTTGGCTTATGACTCAATTATGATCATAAGTCATGACGGTTGTAAAGCAGGTTAGCTGTGTGACCCGATTTTGCAACCATTGTTGCACTGGTTATTAAGCAGATGCCATGTCTGTTAAGCAAAATCAATTATCCAATTGTCTGCTACGGGCTGGTTTTGCTGAAAACTAGAAGTCAATGCTGGTTCTTCAGCAAAACATCATTAAACAGTCATGTGATTGTAGGATGCAGCAAACGGTCATAAATCCTGTAAGCACTTTGGAATTTTGTTTCCAAGTATTGCTGAGGTGGTTCCTTCTAACTTCGAATAGTTTGCAAACAACCCATCATAAACTGAGGACTTCTTGCATTCAAAATTGTTTTGCACACCCTAATATGCTTCGCAATGGGATGGGTGGCAAATAAATCTTAATAAATAAACACACAAATAAGCTTAAACGTCAGAACCTCTTAAAAAGGTCTACAGAATTTGCTCACTTACGTTTCATGAGTCCCAAAAAAGAAAATGGGGTATTTATTTGCTGGAGGCTTCACAGCTCCCTCCGGGAGTTCATCAATCTGTCAGTCAAAGAGAAAGAACGATCCATCAATAAATGTCCAGTTAAAAATAACTACTCAAAGAGCATAGAGATCAATGGACAATGGGAAGCGCTGTTCAAGTGAAGGTTCAGGGTAGACACCAAAATTGAGAGCTGCTTGGGTGTAGCAGCAAAGGCGCTAGGCTAAACCTGGGAGACTCTACATTCTAGCCTGTCCTTAGGGACGAAAGTCAGCTAGATGATTTTGAATCAGTCCCTCTCTCTCAAGCTCAACCTACATCACAAGGTTTTTGTTGTGAGAAAATAGGAAGTGGGCACATCAGATTATGAATAGCACTAGTACTAGCACTAGCCCTTAGATGTATATATACTACTTCACAGTGCTTTACAGCCCTCTCTAAGCTGTTGACAGAGTCAGCATATTTGCCCCCAACTATCTGGGTCCTCATTTTACTGACCTTGGAAGGATGGAAGGCTGAGTCAACCTTGAGCTGGTCAAGATCGAACTCCTGTCAGTGGGCAGAGTTAGCCTGCAATAGAGTAGCACTTAGACTTATATACCGCTTCATAGTGCTTTACAGCCCTCTCTCAGCGGTTTACAGAGTCAGCCTATCGCCCCCAACAATCTGGATGTTTATTTTACCAGCCTCAAACGGATGGAAGACTGAGTCAATCTTGACCCAGTCAGGATCGAACTCCTGTCAGTGGGCAGAGTTAGCCTGTGATACTGCATTCTAACCACTGTGCTACCATGGCTCTTTGCCGCTTTGAGTTGATCAGGAAAGAAACTGAATAAATAAGTAAGATTCTATTATTCTACGCAAAAACAATGCTTGGGATTCCTGTCATGGCTGCTTTGTGACTCAGTCTACTTTGCAAGGTTACCATCCATCTTGAGAATCTGTCCAGGTTTCTTTCTCTGTCCCTTCTGAACAAAATCAAGGCAGGATTGCCTTTAAGTTTCTTTCTCAGGTTTCCTTCTTTCTCAGCACTGTTTAATCCTTTCTCAAAATTCCTTCTTAACAGTTGGCCAAGGTCAGCTCCACACCCTTCACATGGGCAAAGCTTCAATAGATGGTCATGGCCAAGGACTTGTCTTCTCTGAACTATCTTTCCTTGTCTTGAATGGGCCTTCTTTTGATCTTAACAGGAGGAACGGATTCTGCTTGGATCCAGGGGTCCTTAAGGCATCCTACTCTGCCTGCATAGTCAGTCCAGTGCTTTTCAAACTTGCAATTTTAAGATATGTAGGCTTCAACTCCCATAATCCCCTAGCCATCACTGGGAATTGAAGGCCAGACATCTTAAAGTTGCCAAGTTTGAAAAACACAAACCTTTATAGACAGTAACCAGAAGTATGAATTGGGCCTAAAAGCCTTCAAGAGAAAAAGTGCCCAAATCTTCTATAGATAAAAGACTTCCTGTAGGATTAATTAAAAGAAAAGAGGACTATTTTTATTTATAAGCCTGGATTCCATTCCATTCCATTCTTTCCTTCTAAACAATAATCCCAAAACAAGGTATCTCGTGTTCATACCTGTTCATTTCTCCAACTTGAAAACTAGTCTAGACAGTCCCTAAGGGGTCTTCCTTTGATTTTATTCCCACAATTCCAAGAATATGTGATGCAAGAGCTACAGTTTCAGACAAGACTGGGAAGATCTGGTTCACCCACCCCATTAAACATGAAGCTTTGGACAAACTGCTAAACTCTTTTGGGAAAAGGCTAAACTAAATATAAAATTGCTAGGAAATGATCAAGGACCAGCAACATGTTTGCGGCATATTGTTTATCCCCAAAGATGAAAAGAATTGCAAAGGGTTTAAAAAGGAGAGGAAATTTTCCGATGGCTCGGTGCTTTTAAAAAGTGTTTTGTTACAAACAGCAAGCAGCCATTTCCTGATTAGTATGACATAACAATAATAATGATACAATTGCTTAACAATACAACTGCAGCACCCACCACTACACTCAAACAGTAAGTGGGAAGCCTCCCAAGCAAAGGTTGGAATTTCATTCTAAGAAAGAAAGAAAGAAAGAAAGAAAGAAAGAAAGAAAGAAAGAAAGAAAGAAAGAAAGAAAGAAAGAAAGAAAGAAAGAAAGAGGGAGGGAGGGAGGAAGAAAGAAAGAAAGAAAGAAAGAAAGAAAGAAAGAAAGAAAGAAAGAAAGAAAGAAAGAAAGAAAGAAAGAAAAAAAACAGCTCAGAGTCCAAAGATGTAACTAAAATGCCTTTTCCAAAATTGGGATTTTATTCCATTTTTACAGTGGCAAGCTCCTTTTTTCACTTTTGCTTAGAGTAGTCTTAAGAAGGCTTCCTTCAAAAATAATGTTTTTAATAAGGAGGCCCATGCTTACTAAATCATCTCATTGTTTATTTATTTAAAAAGATTTGCGTGGGCCAGAGTGGCTCATAAGCACAAAACAATAAAAATAGCAAAAAGCATAAAAACCACCCCAAAACTCCCCAAATGAATTAAAAACAAACGAGCAAATAAACCCTTCCTAGTTCCCAAGCACAACACACCTCCACATACCCAACAAATTGTACAGCACCAACAGAAATGATTTTTTTTTTTTTTAGCTCAGGGTGCAACTGTGAGGTCCTTGGTGCTCTCTGAGCTTGGCTGTTTTTCCTTGCGGACGTTTCATGGCCCAACTAGGTAATATCATCAGTTCTAGATGATGGTAGACTCTGCTCTTCGTTTATAAAAACGAAGGTATTACCTAGTTGGATAATGAAGCATTTGCAAGAAAACAAACCAAGAACTCTACAAACTGCAGAGCTTCTAAGCTTATACCAACCCATGATTTGTTGGAAAAACTAGGTGTTTAAAGCAATGGTTTTCAACCTGTGGGTCGGGACCCCATTTGGGGTCGAACGACCATTTCACGGGGGTCGCCAAACAACGCAGTCCGCAATTTTTCCTCCCCTTTTCCTTAGCTGTGCTACTCCCTTTATTCTATTGGCTTTTGAAAGGTTCTATTGGCTTTTGAAAGGCATTAAAAAGGTTGAGAACCACTGGTTTAAAGCTTTTGGGAAAGCAGGAAAACAGGCGCCTATCAGATCTCAGAAGGAAGAAAGCCTCAAAGGGCAGAGTTTGGGGTGGGGATGGGGGGGAGAAACTACACCAATCTCATTGGGATCAACATTTCAATAAACATCCATCAGGAGCATACTTTGATCTGGTTTGTTTGGGGAAATTTTAACAACCCTGAAGGATGAAGCACCTGCTTCTTTTAAATTATGTTGTTCCTGATATTAGAAAGGAACTATTGCCCGCCATCTTGTGCAACAGAAGCCAAGATCGTATCCTGTGCGTCAATGTCATTAGGCAAAAGACACAAATATTTGTGTCTTCACAACCTCTTTGTGAAGTTTTAGAATTTCCAGGCTCAGGATTCCCAGTTTATGTTATTTTAGGAATTCCAGTCTCACCCTCTTGGGGGGCTGGGCTGGAGAATAAGGTTCTCTCCACCCTTCCCATTGTGACTGAATAGTGTGTGCAGGAAGAGGCAAAGACAGCTGATGTCCCTTTGTATCAGCGACACTGGAAACTGCAGGAAGGGAGGAGAGTGTGGTGGAACTGCCAATCAACGCTTGGCAATGGAAGACTCCTCTTTGGGAATATAAATTTGGAGGAGGGGCTCTGCATTGTCACCGTTTGATTGACATTTCCCCCGCCCAATCGTTGCAGAAAAGGCGGCTGGCAAAGACAAGCACTGATTCCTTGCAAAGCTGGAAAACAAAATGTGGCCCTTTTATTCAAGCACGGACAAGGCTCGCTACCTGCCCTCTGTGGCGAGCTGTATCCTTTCGACACAAAGAGGAATTCCGCTCGGATAGTAATTCCACTTGGAATCAGCTAGAAAAAAGGAAAGCGGACAATTAGGGCACCCGCAGCCTCAGCCAAATTCGGTGGCAATCTCGGCAGCCAGGTTATTCTCCCCGTAGCTGTTGTTTTCCTGAGGCTGCATTGGCAATTCTTCTCACCGGCTGCAGGACCCAAAGGGAAAAGAAAGAGGGAAGGGCAGAGGCCCACTCATCAGCCCCCACCGGCCCTGAGATCCAGGAACAAAGGAGGGACAGAGGAGCGTCTGCTCACCCCTGCTGCACAACAATCCCCACGCATGCACAACAATCCCCACACTGTTGGTTTGCTTCAGGAAGAAAACAAACTACTGCCAAAGTGCTGGCTGTAACACAACCCCACCAACAGGCCAGAGTTGGCGCCAAGCAGCAAAATCCTCTTTGTTGGTTCTCCCCTTGTACATCAACCCTCCCACTGTTTAGCAAGATAATAGCCTTTATCTAACCAGATGCCGAAGAGAAATAGATTTTATATTGCTTAAGAAAGGAATTGGTGTTAGAATTAGGAGGTTTGGGAAGGGAGGGCAGTTCATGAAACCTTTAGCACGATCAGGACTTAGCTCTAGCCTGGATTGTTCCCCGTAAGAGGATTGTTCCCCGTGTGGGTGAGCAAAAGGCAAGAGACACCTCTGCTCTAACTGGCTGAGAACTTTCCAGATAACCACTAGATGGCAGCAGAGAGTTAAGGAGTCTGCAGCTCTTTGCCGCCATCTCTTGGCCATCTGCATTTTGGGGGTGAGCATCCCTTGGTAATAAAGCAACATACAACGTAAGGGTATATAACGCACAACAGAGGTCCCCAACTGTTTGGGCACCAGGGACCGGTTCCGTGGAGAGAGGTTTTTCTGCGGACCGGAGGGGGCGTGGTTTTGCGTGCTGCCTTCATCCTGCGGAAGGGGCTTCGCTTGTTTGCATGGATTGGTTTCTGGCACGGATCGGTGCTGGTCCATGGACCGAGGGTTGGGGACTCTTGACACAGAACATAGGAATGAAATGAAATGGGAATTGATCTTCAGGGGTATCCTGACTTTTCTACACATATAAGTGGCATATACAGACTGTATGGTGACCAGTTTGGTGTAATGGTGAAGGCATCCAGCTAGATTCTGGGACTTCTAGTCCCATATTAGACCCAAAGTCAACTGGGTGA